CTGCAACAGATTTGCCAAACAGTTTCTGCTCTACTCAAGCAAATGCCAGGTCCCAGCTAGAAAACCAGTTACATAAATACCAGTGTACTCACTGTGGAAAGTTGCTAGTAAATGCCTTTGCCATCATAAACCAAATCCAACGTAAAAGCTGTCCTGTTTTCTCATCAGTACATTCCCTCCCAGGGATTACTAACTCACGTTCTGCAGAGGGTGTGAGATCCTGCTCCTCTCTGTATAGCCAGTAAATCATTTCTCAGCTAAAACAACACAAACAGAAAAATGTTCATTGCCATAAACCAATTACACTATTTACCTATAGTTGTCAAATCACCTGCAGGAAATACTGGCAGGATCCAACTGATATCTACATCTTTGATGGGAGATAGCAACATAATAAAAATAAAATAATACAGCAATTTACCACTGGCTGCAGCACTACCTTCTGCTCAGGAGTCAGTCTCCTTGATCATTACAGGAATCTGGAATATACAATTAACTTAGCTTTTGTAAGGTTTTTTTCCCTTTTTACCAGAGAAATTTTTTAAGATTTTTTTCCCCCCTATCATTTCTTCCAGCAGCAGGGGGTGTTTCCTTTTTAAATTTTTAATTACACCAATAAATCATGAAGAGACTGTGCTATCACAGCCTGTCTCTTGTTCCCCTTGAGATTAAAACAGCCAGATATGACATACGCTTCACACAGCATAAAGTATTACAAAAAACATTGGTAAACAGCAGAATAAAGAGGACGTTTCTGCTCACCATCTAACAGTGGAGACCTCCTTTGTGCTTAAATCCTTTGGCTTTTAGTCTCCAACACATGAATGACTTATCCAAGGATAATTGTTTCCTCTGCTTCACAATCGCCTAAACGTTATGAGCTTTCAAAAATGTACTCACCTGAATGTTTTATTATGAAATATTGAATGAAATTCAGTGCAAGAGAGAGTGCTTTAGAGAATGAAGGCTCACTTCACCAGGGGATAAGAGACTGCCCATGAGCCAGCACCAGGAAGAAGCTGATACAATGTAAATTATATTCTTTTTTAAAACATAGTAACCTGCTCAAGTGCCTAAATCAAATCCAAATCTTATTTTCCTGCCTCCTTATAAAAATCAGTAAGAACTTCAGGGTGCTAATATATGAAATTCATGTTTTAATTTTACAGAAGAAAATACATCCTGTTGCCCTGTTAATCTGTTGTCCCAAGTAAAAGAACAAGCTATTTCTTTGTTGTTTTATTTCTTCGTTGTTTTCTTTTTCATGCTCTGTTTTTTTTGTTTGTTTGATTTTCTCTCTCTCTTGCATTTCATGTATGTGCTAACTTTTCTCTGCCATGTTATGAAGAATCTTTTTGGTTCCAGGAAACATCTAGTTTATTTTACCATTGTATCAGCATTAATTTACTATTGTTTCCTAAGGAAGTTGCTGCTTTCACATGTTCTGTGTGGATCAAGAGAGATTGGGATCTCATTCATTGGTTTCCTTTTTTTTTTTTTTAGGGAAAAAAACTTTCCATAGCATCAAAGGTAAAAAATTAACACACTGTGCACACAATTTTGCAGCTGCATCAGCAGCAGGAAAACAAAGGTTGCCAAACAAAGCATTTGTTTAAACAAGTGACAGGCATTCATAATTATGCTCACTGCTGAGCATGAGAATATAGAAACAAAGGCATGAAGAACACAGAAGATGTGATCAGGGCACAGAAGTAACTCCACAGTTATAAGAATTCTGCAGAAATTATTTTCTTTCCCATGGATAAAATCCTTGATCACGTCCTATGCTTTTAAAAACAAAAAGAGTACTTGAAGTTCCCCTGTTTGTTCGGTTTCTGATTGAGTTACTTTATTAATTTTCTATATACTAACTCTCATAACTGGAGAGGGACACAAACACCTCCTTGTGAGCATTGTCTTCATTCAATGAAGATACTCTGAGTTTTCATGAATAAGGATGGAAGAAAAGGCCTTGAATTCCCACAGCAGAGAGAAAAACATCATTACACATTTGGTCATCCAGCTGGTCAAAGTCCATGGTCTTGTGAGGTCATTTTTGCCAGTCTGAGAAACAAGGTGGGAAGTGTCAGGCATGATATAAATGTTCTCGTATTTATGTACTGTTCCATCTCCCTGTACATATCACAGAAAAAAATGATAGGAGGCTTTTCCCCTTCTCAGAAACTTGCCATTCTAACAAGCTCTGTATTTGCCCTTTGCCCAACTGTGATGTTCCCAGGATCACGCTCACAGCTGTCTCTGTTGCCCTTTTACCTCGATTACACCGCCCGTATCTTTGCCCAGTATTTGCTAGTTTGCCCAGTTTTGTTCAGGTTTGCCACAGACCCTGTTTACTTCATCAGGTACCGTTATCATCATCAGTCTTTTTTAATCCACTGGGATTATCAGAAGCCCGAAGAGGAGCTCGTCACAACGGTTTTAGAGGATTTTATCCTTTTCTTCAGACTGAAGGTTACCCAGTAACTGCTTTTTCGTACAGTTTGTAATCCTCATCTTGGTGTATTTTTTTCAGAAACTCAGATACAAAATGTTACAAAGCATCAATGTATCATTAATGCTATTACTTCCACCAGAATCTGACCCTCTCCTAGTTCTGGACCTGCATCCATTTAGGCACTTGTTCAAAATTATTTGCAATGTAACACCATTTTTTCAGGTTTGAGAGGTAAAATAAGTGTAAATCTTCATCAGTGGCCAGAGAGACAGAATGTCCCATCAGCAAGTTTCCACATAATGCCACGTTTGCCATATGCAGGACAGCAGAGCTCCCGTTTGGAGCGGTCCTGACTGCTCATGAAGTGCAAGAACAGCAAGTCCTGCACTTGGGATGGTTTAATCCCATGGTTCAGTAGTACCTGGAGGCTGGCTGCTGGGGTGAAAAGCTCTGGCCAAAAGCACTGTAGGTCCTGGAGGACAAGCTGAACACGTATCAGCAATGCACCCTTGTAGTGATGAAGGTGAATGGCATAGTGGGCTGTATTAGAAAGAGCAAGGCCAGCACCTCAAGTGACTATTCACCACTACTCAGCCCTTGTGAGGACACATCTTGGAGTACTCTGTCCTGTTTGGGAGCTCTAATCCAAGAGAGAGAACAAAAAACTGGAGGGAGTAGAGGTGATTAGCAGCCTGGTGAGCTCTGGCGCATTAATAAGTGTCCTAGTAAAATTGGGACATTGAAGAAAAGCTTTCCTTAGGCTGAAATAATATGTAACCCATGGGGAGTGTGAGGCAATTCACAGAGAAATGAATGTTAAAGCCCATCCAGTAACGACCTGACTGCTTTGTGAATGTTGCCTTAGGTAATATTTTTATCTACTTTCATCAAGGTTTCACATGGACAACTCAGCAGCCATCCCAGGCAGCTTCCCACTACTTGACTGATGATCCTGTCAGTTTATACAACAATAACTAGGTGAGGAAAATGTTAATTATAAGATCACTTTCCTTGAATCTTTTTAATTACAGCAAACTGTAAGACTTTTTTTTTTTTCTTTTTCCTGAATTGTTGGGTTTGACCTGCCAATGTTGCAATTGAGACAAGATTAGGATAGGAACACCCTTGCAAGCATGATGTCAGGAGAATTAGATTTCTTGAAGCACTAACTCAAGGAGATAATTTTCTCTCTGCAAGTAATAGCATTCATTTGAAGTCAGAGAGAACGTAAGCACTGACAACCCTCTAGTAAGCAGCAGAAAGAAAACAAATATTGATCTTCTCTGTCTAGTCCGGACTTACAGCAAAAGTCAGATGGGTGACAGCCAGAAATTTCTGGATTTTTACTTCTCTAGTTCCTGTGAAGACAAAGTAAGCACATTTCCATTGTATACAGTCACATTCCACGTATGTAATTACCTACAATTATGAGCAACAATAGAAGTTTGCTTTTGCGGTTCTCCGGGCAGAACCCCTAGCTGATAATGGCTTGCTCTTAGATACTCTGAAGCAGGCAGCTGAGGTAATAAATGACAAGCATTAAGAAAGATTCTCCTAAATAGTTGGTTTCAGAATAGCAAATAGCATAAATAACATTGCTACTTTAGGATACTAAAGAGGATTCCCTGAGCCTGAGCCTTGCACTTACACCCTGTGTGGTAAGATTTGACAGATATGCATATGTTTAATGCAAATATCACCAAGCAAATATGTTTCTAATTCAAAACACTAACATTTGTTAAGTAAAACCAAACAACTATTGGAAAACATTTCATGGATAAATATATAGATTAAGAAAGGAGTAATTTTTAATGGCAGTTTTTTAATGACTTAATAGCCTTATCATTTCTGCTTTCTCTGTCACTGACAGATTCTGTGGCTTTCAAAATATGCCCTCCTATGTACTTAATGATGGAAAATAATCATACGGATTTTGCAAATACTTACATGAGACTTATTAAAGGCCCCACAATACTTTTGCACTGTCATGACCCTGAGGCCACTAACAAGCTTTAATGGCCCTGACAAGCCTCACCTGTAGCCTCCACCCACAGCCCTGCCCAAGGGCCAGGAGCCCACTTAAGCCCAGACCTGGGTTAGGGTCTTTATCTTCAGCTTCATGTCTGGCCCTGTCACTAAGAAGGACTTTGGACTCTTGGTGTTGCTTGTCTTTGGCCCTCTCTCCTTTTGCGTCTGCCTGAGTTCTCTGGTTGGACCTTGGACCTGTTTTGTCCCTTACAATGTTTGGGACTGCTAAAGGACACTTTTCCCAGCAGCCAGCTCTGCCTGTTGTGAGCAGCCTCTGGGGGGTGGCACACTGCTGGTGAGGGCACTGCTAGTACTGGGACCATCCCTGGCTCCCCTGTCCTTTAACTGTGGCTGATCTGCACTGTTTCCCAACTTCCCCTGGCACCCTCTTCTGATAGCTCTCCATCTTCATTCCTACTTGGCCTACTGCAATCTGTAATGTTATGAGAAGTCTTTAGAGAATTAACTGCTTGTCTGTGTTTCTGTGCTGGGCCTGAGGAGCTACAGCTCTAGTTACAACTCGGAAGTTACCTGTGTCTTTGCCATTTCTGTAGGTTGCAGCTACAGGAGGAAGAGCAAACATCCCAAAGAAAACTAAAGGATTGGATTTTTATACATAATCTTTCAGGTAAGATAACAAAGTTATTGGAATTGCATGTGGAAATAGTAAGAGAGTAAAATTCTTCTTGTTTTCATCTCTAAGAAACACAAGTCAGGAAAACACCTCAATCTATTCTCCCCACTGGGGAAAAAAAAGTCCACTTCAACTGTGTCAAAGTGGTGTGTGAAAAGTAATTATGGTTGCTTATGTCTATTCCTACTTCTAGTCTACACAAAATTATTCCTCTTATGGGACATTTGATAGTTCAGAACAAATTCTTCACCTTGAGGCTGCAATGCCACTGGATTGCACGCTTGGAGCTAAAACACTGTTCTGCAGGAGGCTGCTCTCCTTCCTGTTCTCCTTGTATATCTACTAGATTTCTGTGAATTCCTCAGTTTGAGGAGTCACCAGTCCTCAAAATTACAGCTGTTAATGATAGCAATTCTTAGCTATCAGTATTCAAATATACAACTATTCAAATTCAAAGCATGTATGCAAGAAAAAGCGATAAGAAATCTCTCTCCTTGCATACAAAAGAGTGATTTCTGTAACCCCTCAGTGTTCTTAGAGCCAGATGAGAGAGAACCTGGAAAGCAATGCAGAATAATCATCAACTAGCTGGCCCTCCAATGAAATGTAGAGCCAATAAAGAAGCCAGTCCAGGGACAAGTTGAAAATTAACTACTTGGTTAGCTCCACCTCTCCCACTATGAAAGGGTGCTCTTAAATTTTTTTTTTTTTATAAATAGGTCTGGAGACCCCTCAGTTATCCTGAAGCTGTGTATCCACAGGACTGTTTTCCTCTACTTCGTGTTGATAGGTCGCTAGACTCTGGAAAGTACCTCTGGCTGTTTGATCAACTGAAGATTTTAAGTGCCAAGGTGATAGCAATGAATAGTGTGAAGGCAAATACGCTGGCACATTTATACAAGCAGCTGAAAACTATCTGGAGTCCACCAGCAGCACCAGCACGACTCTGCAGTCTGGCTGCCTGCACTCGTAAAACCAGGAATGATGCATGTAAGTGTATTTCATTTTATCAAAACAGTACTGGATACCTGCCTAAGAGAGGTGCAGAGGTACAAAGACAACAAATGGAGTTAAGTGTTGCTCTTCTTCCTTCTTTGTTGGCTACCCAAAAAGAGAAATGTGAGAATGTGACTGAAAGACTAAAGAAAAAAAGAGTGAATAGAATGAGAGAAACTAGAGATAGAAACACCTTATTGAATTGCATGACTTATCTCCATGTGCAGGATGAAAACATAGTTATTTTTGCTCTGTCAGTGTTATTGAGAGTGATTTTCATTTGTAATTACAATGAAGTAACATACTGTACAACAACTACTTTTAAACTTTGTCCTGCAAGGTTTTGCTGGTTTCAATGAAAACCCTATTTATAAGTATAATTCACAGCAGATTGAGCACAAATTCATTGAGTGACTTTGAATTTAATAGACACTACAATCTTTAATTTTGAAAATGAGGCTGAACAGAAGTACAAATCACAAAACTCTCCTGATGTGGTGTACAGGAGAACTACAATGAGTCACTTCCTGAGATGCAGGACACTACTGGAAGATGTCAAAGACTTAGTTATCTAAAATACTGATTAACTTATCTACAAATAAGATGAGGCCAGCCAGAGACTGCATGTCTACTTGCCTGTGTGCAGATAATGTCAGCTGGAGCAGCAGCAAAGAGTAATTTTTTACATCTAGGAAATCCTTTTCTTTCCTCTGTAAAAAAAGAGGAAAAAGTTCAGCTTACTAACTTTTCCCATAGAACAGCCAGATTCTTCCTTGAATACTGAGATACGATTCCCTTCCATTTAAGAAAAGCTGAGATCTCTAGATCCCCACATGTGATGGAGACAGTAGTTATTTTAGGCTTACCACAAATCCACCAGTTTTCAGTAAGGGGCTAAAGGATGCCGTATTTTTTTTGCTGTGGCTACTTGTTCATGGGGACCTGTACTGAGAATTCGTGGTAACAAATACGTCAGGAAGAGATCATACAAGGCTGTTCCATCATAAGACCATTGATGATTAAATTAACTACAATAGTTATCTAACTCTTTTTACTCACATTTCTCTTTTCAATTTAAGGCAGATGTTATTTATTATTTAAATCTTTCTCTACTCCATGACATTCGTGCAGGAAATGCCAAAACAAACTGATTCAGGAAAACACTATCTTTGGAATGCCTGGTTTCGTCTGCCAGGGAATAGACACCAGATCTGAATAAGCCAACCTGTGGGTTCCTCCATCTGGTGGCTAGACCCTGTGCACAACATGCGTTCAAAGCAAAAAGCACATTCAATTAAATTCAGCTATTCGCAGCTGACAGTACAAACAGCCCTTTCAGTGACAAAAACTTGATCAAAGAAATGGTGAAATTGGACTACTGAGCTCTTAGGTAATGTCTTCAATGTAAAGTTCACTATTTTTCTGAACTTCATCTCTTTTATCTTCCTTCCCTCACCCCTCCCACTCAGAGAAGTCGTCTCTCACCGCGGTGGGTGGTGATTCTTTCACTTGGCAGTTAACTCAGACGTTTGCTGTGAGGACATAGGTTAAACAATTAAAAGGTTGATGCTTCCCAGTGCCTTTTCTGGATTCCCCTTGTGCCCCCACAAGGACAAAAGTCTTTTTCTGCACTTCACTGGGAAAGAGCTGTAGAAAAATTGCTGAAAGTCATGGTGTGTATGTAAAAAAAAAAAAAAAAAAAAATT